AGGCTTGTCATGATCATCGGAGGCACCAGGGCATGAAGAGACACTTTGAAGAGTTGTAAGCATTGTGCAGGCAGACACTCCAGAACACGAGGAAAAAATGCAACATTTTTGTTTGCCCAACTGAGTCAGAATGTCCCCCTGTCACCTGTCGGGGGCTGCAGCTAACAGGGCCTGGTGGGCAGCCTCTGTGCTGGTGGTGGGTGGTGAGATGGATCGTGACCACCCATTTCATCCTAGGTCTGGACTCAGGGCATTGCCTTGCAGCGTCTCCAACCTGCTAAGCACTCCCCAGGCCAACCATGGCCGGCAGCCACCACAGGTGCCTCTGCACAGGTGGGAGGTGACACCTCTAGGGAGCCCTGGAGCCGCGGAAGAGTTGGGAAGCACTGGGCTGAAAGGTAAGAATGCACCTCACCTTCGCTGTTGAATCTGGAACCAGAGGGTGCCCAGGGCTGCCTGGCTCCGTCCCTGGCACCTGCTGTGCACCCAGGTCTGTGTGGTACAAGGGCCTCGCGCTCCACTCCCTGATCAGCCAGGCGTGGCCCCCTGAAGGCCACCACATCACAATCCCATGGTTGGTTCTCCTGCCCTCCTGGGCCACTCTCTGTCACAGCTGGGTGTGCGCACTGAGGGTCTCTGCAGGCCGGGGTCCCGAGTACAGCCTGGGAAGGAGCCTCAGACATTGGGACTCAAATGGGCAGGGAGTTGGGCGCAAGCAGGTCCCGAAGTGAGGATGTGTCTCTTAGGTGCCCTCAGCCATGAGTCCACATGTGCAGGCCCTGCCCATGGTGCTGTGACACATCGGTGACAAAGCCCACTCCCCTCCGTTCTCACCCCACCAGCCCAGCATCGTGGAGAGGGATGAGCATGTGGCAGGTCCTCAGAAGCCGTCCCGAGAGGGGACATGGGCAGCCACCTGAAGGAGATGAGGCGTGGAGTCATGGGGGGACCTCCCCGGCAGAGGCATCCTGTGCAAAAGTCGTGGGGCAGGACTGCAAATCTTGGGATCAGAGTGGGTGTGGTTGAGGAGGTTCGGGGGCCAGGACGTGGTGGGAGGGTGCTGCCCGGGGAGGGCTCCACCCTGAGTGCAGGGCTGGGATGTGTCTTATCCCCGCAGGACCACGGGGCAACAACTTAGAGGCGGAGGGAAGGGCCTCAGCCGGGGAACTTGAGGAAGCAACAATGCTGTCCAGCCAATAGCTGCCGCTGTCTGACGCCAAGCAGAAGCAGCGGCTGAGGAGGAGAGAAATGGGTGGCTGTGGCCTAGTTTACAGACAGAACCCATGATTTCCTGAGGGGTGAGATGTGGCATGGCAGGAAGGTGCCAGTCCCGCTCGTGGCTGGGAAGGAGACCCCAGAGGCTCCATGTTCCTGTCCTGATTGTCCCACCAGGAGGCGAGGGGCCGAGGGGCAGGGCAGCCACGTCCTCTTGGCTGAACACGCTCTGAAGAGGGAGTGGAGGCCGTTAGGGCAGGACATCCCTGGCCTTCAAGGATGGAGTGACCGCAGAGCTGGTCAGGGCTGATGACACCGCCCACCCGAGGGACATCCTTGGTCTAAAGGGGACTCCTGGGGGGTCTCTTTTCAGCCAGGTAATTCAATGTTCTTAGATTTGTCCCAACCTGGTTAAAAGTTGTTCCAAATCTAGAAAAGTCCAATGATGACCGCATCCCTGCTGAGGTAGCACAGGCCCGGCCTACAGGAGGTGGATGGCTTCCGAGAGTCAGCCAGAGAGCTTTGGGCCACGGCCTCTGAGCTACACTGGACTGGTCTGCAGACCTCAGGCACCGCTGCTTTCTCATTGGTTTTGCAAGGAGAGCAGCGCACAGGACAGCCGGACACCCAAATCTGGGCTCCAAGAGGCGACGGAACCGCGTGTCTGCAAAGGGAGCTTGGTCTGGGTGGTGACCCAGCGCTGGAGCCCAGCTTCCTCTCTGCAGCTCTAGCAGGAGGACCAGACCCACCTGCCGCTCAGGTCCGAGGAGAAGGGGCGCGGCGGGGGGCGGTGGAGAGAGGGGGTGGAGTGGGGGCTAGTGGGTGCAGAGGGAGTGGGCGGGGCGAAGGGCGGAGTGAGGGGGTTCAGAGGTATAGCCCAGCACCGGGTCCTCAAAGGGCGTCCTAGACCAGAGTAGCGCATCCTTGGGGACTTGTGAAGATGCGCGTTCTCCGCCACGAATCAGAAATTCTGGGGTGGGGCCCGTGTTTCACAGCAGCCTGGGAGTGAGCAACAGGAGC